ATAAAAAGCACAGCTGATCTTCATTATTTGCAGATTATGTATTGGTGAACTCTCCTACTCACCAATATTTATCTGCAAGCCCAGAATCAATAACCTTCAGGACGTTCTCGGCCATTCGTGGACCCTTGCAGGGTCATGGAAAATCTGAGTTGCCCATGCATGCCGCCAGCTGAGGCTGAAGGAGGCAGTGTGTCACCTTCTTGTTGCAGCTCTCCTCCTAAAAACAGTTGTCCCTTTCATAGTCTGTTTAGTGACACATGTCTCACACTTCCTTGCTTTTTGTTGATTTGCTGTTTAAAAGTGCCATCTAGAGTTCCTCAGTGAAGGGCGGCAACGATGCGTCTTAGAAAGTAGGTGTGTGAGGTCAACTCCATTCAGGCAGGAGTTACAGGGCTGTTGGCCCTGAGTACCGTGTTAATGAATCAACGGTATCTATTAAATAAGATGTCTTGAAACAGAAACACTCATCAAATAAAGGTTATGTATCGATAAGTTGATGGAGAAGTGGCCAGATGCTTGCAGGCACCCAAACCGGAATTTCCTCTCAGAGCAATGGTTCAGTGTTTGTTCATTCAGTGTTTGCGGTGGCTTTTATGCAACATAACTTGTGTGAATAAGGAGAATTGACTGTTAGAAGGGAACACATCCAACTCACACTGGTAGTTGCTTTTGAAGACAGAGTGGGGGGTAGGAGCTCAACTTATGAAGCTTTGGTCGGTTGGAGAAGAATGTTATGGATTTAGAGTCAAGAGATGCTGTTGCTTGAAAGGCTGGGGCATGACAATATATTTCTGTCTGGCATCTGATGCCATTTCACAGATAAATTATAAAGCCACGTTTCTGTAGCTTAAAATCTCTCAAACAGATGTAATGATATATTTAGTTATTCTGTCCCAAGATAAAGCAAACAGATGAAGCTACATTTCCCCCTAATTATTTCAGTGATTAATGTAAATATTCCGTCTCCCATGTAAAATGAAAAAAATATTATTTGCCACATGATTGAGAAGGATGAAGTGACCTGAAATCCCTAGGGGGGGAAAAACATTTACTCATGCAAAGTATCTTTTTAAGTAAACTAAGTCAAAGGGCACTTGGGGATGCTATCACTAAGTTAATGGGAAGCAACATCATTTACACATCCTTAGTTTCAATCCAAAAGATGAAGGAGCTTATGCCAAGAGTTTAATAAACGTAGAAAAGTTTACTCAAATACTAGTATGTTCACTTTTTCTATTTTGAAAAATAATGAGAGAGAAAAAAATAAAATAATGAGAAGGTATTTCAAGAGCTATCCTTCCACAGTGAATTACACAAGAGCCTCAATTAACCAGAACAAATGGAGGGGTCACTGAATCTCATCTGGATTTTCTGATTGGTTAGGGCTTAAGCAGAAGCGCCTTGTCCATGGTATTTCTAAAATGTCTCTTACAATTTGTTGCTCTGTGCACAAAATACTGCTACTAATAATACATCTAATATTTATTGAACATCTGCCTTGTAGCTGGTACTGTCAAATGCTTTTTTACTCATCTATTCCTCACAATGGCACTCTGCAGTCAGGACTCAGGATTCCCATTTAAACTGATGCAGAAACTGAGGCACAAAGAGATCAGGTTAATAGAACAAATGCAATCCGAGATGACTAAAATGCTTTCATCACTTCCTTAAAATCATACTGAACTTTAATGATGCTGTTTCTCTGAGATGGTGAAAGTATAACACTGGGTAGAAATCTGTTTTAATCCTGGGTCATGGTCTTGATTTTTAATACATTTCTGGCATGAGAATGCTTGTCACTTATTTCCAAGGCTTAGAAGCAGATTGCAGAGGGGTTAAGCACGAATACCAGGTAATCCAGTGTCTGTTTTAATGGTTTCTTGATAGAGAGTAGCTGCCCACATTGGTGTACTTCTGGTGAAAACCAGGTCTTTGCAAATTAGTGAAGGTGCTCTGATCACGTGCCAGTTATTACCCAGTAATAATCTTAACAGTTTGGGCTGAGGGTCCGACCACATTCCAGACTGCTTCAATGCTGCTTTATTTTGTTATTTTTAAGATTTTTAAAATTTATTTATTTGGGAGAGTGAGTGAGCAAGAGAGAGCACACGAGCAGAGAGAGGGAGAAGCAGACTCCCCCCACTGAGCAGGGAGCCCGACGCGGGGCTCAATCCCAGGACCCCGGGATCATGACCTGAGCCGAAGGCAGACGCTTAACCGACTGAGCCACCCCGGCGTCCCTCAATGGCGCTTTAAATGAACCATCCTACCTCATATGGAGTTTATTCTTTCTTACTTTAGAAATCTTATCTTTTCATACACTTTGGTAATGGCAAAAATGACCTCCAGTTCAAGATAGCTCCTGATTATTGACCATGGGAGTCAAAAGTCCTGATTCCTTGCTGATGCTGAGACCCAGTCATCTTGCTGTCACTGGTATTTTAAGTGTTTTCTTATCATGGGTTACCATCTGCTTTTAGAGTCATCCTGTTGTTTCTCTGGGCATAAACTCTCCTAACTATTTCTGAAAAATAAAGTCTACACTCTCTGGTAGAAATGGCAATTAAAAACCACTGCAAGAGGACAGACAGACTTGAAGCTCATGTTTCATTGTCGTCAATGGAAACTGCTGTAGAAACCACAGCATATCATTAAGAAAGTGTATAGGCTATTTGGAAACTCCAACAATAAAACATCTCTATTAGTAAGTGGGTTTATTGACATAACTGAACATAACAATGTATAACATTCATTCATTTCCCACCGAAAGACTTTCCAGTCGAACTCTTTTTACATAGATTTTACTGTTTTTCTGTGAAGTATTTTCAGTAATGTTCTGCAGTTGAAAGGGTAAGTGCTGGGAAGCATCAGAGGTCTTTTCCAGACTTTCAGTGGGGCTCAAGATTACACTGCTGTGCAAAAGGACCAGCTAAAAGATGCCATTGCTCTACAAATGAACAAAACTAGGAGCACGAGAGGGGCAAGTAAATAGCCCAAAGGTTTCAATAAGAGCAAGCAACGACCCCCTCTTCCACGTACTCATATGCTTGGGATCTGACACGGACCCTGGCAGCAAACTAAGAATGACAGCCTATTTCCTGTGGTTTATTAAGTTTTGGCCCCATAGATAAGACTGCCAGAGAAGCAGCTGTTCTTTAAGTGGTCTGGACATTTACTCATCTGAACATAAACACAGATCCGTTCGTTTAGAGCCCTGGGTCTCTGCTCAGCTGTTGGGACAAGGGCAGGCTTGGCTCAATGGAAGCCAAACATAAAATGAAGGACCCCCCAGACTATGATAGATTCCCTGAGTCATCAGGACCCTCAGGGGCTTAAGGCCCTAAACAGGAGATTCACTGTTAGCCTTAGCACCATCGTAGTAGCCTCCGTGACACCCCACTGCCAATAACTCCACAACCATGGTGAACATCATCGTCCACCCCTGCCCTGTGACTGCTTTTCTAGACCACACACAAAATCATTAATGTAAACCAAAGCACTACATTAAGTCATAAACATGTACTTCATAAATATCAGGGAACGAAAGTGTCCCAAACAGTTGAAAACAACAGAGCAAATAAAGGAGCCTAATCCTAAATTTAAAACAAAAACATTTAAAAGAAATACTGCAATTATTAACTAAAAGATAAGATTTAATAACATGGTAAAACACGGGGTAGTGGAGATTAACTTGCAAAATAAATCATTATTTCACAGTGAGGTTTTAGTACTCCTAACAATCTTCTGGTTTTAGTAGAAACAGACAACCACTGATGTACCCTTTTTCACATTTTTTTCCAATAATTTCTTCCCCCCTCTTTCCTATAGAGTAAGACATTAAGGTGATTGAAGGTTACGCTGTCAATTGACTATCACCTTTTGCTTCCCTCCTATTAGGGAACTGCCTTTATCACTTAACGGTGCAACTCAAGAGAAGCAGGGCACAGTCTACTGTGCGTGACTGATAAAAACATGAGAAGTACCACATCATATTTATTCCAATCTGGACACAGTGTCAGAGATGCGGTTAAGTGAACTGGGAGGCTGCAGTTCCCTATGCAGTCATCGGTTATGCACACCTTACATTCTTTTACCAAGTCTGGCACTGACATTTCCTTTTCCATATATAGGTTTAGAAAAAATAAAATTAAGAAGCCACAGGAGCAACCCTGACAGAGAAGTCTTGCATGCAGCCTTCTCCTGAGAAAGTAGGTAATCTTAGTTAACCCCAAGGTCAGCCAATGTTCTTGTGGTGTTAATGTTAAAAAGAAAATACTAGTTGAACGGCTCAGCTCAACTAAAACAGTCCTTGAGTTTATTGTCAGTTTGTTAAATGTCCGAGCTCTTCATTCACATTGTTGAAAAAAAAAAAAAAGCCTAATTACTTAAACTTTAAATTATCCTGAATGTTCTATTAACCAATATGAAAGAGTTCCTTGGCAGATGTGTTAAACTTTACCACCTGCTTACAGCATCTCCCTTCTTGGCAGAGACCACCAGCCCAGTGCAGTCCACGTGCCAAGCCTCCTTTGTAATACTAAGTTCCTTTTCCCTTAAATAGGACAAAACTCCTCTGTTTCACACTGAACAAACAAAAAGCATTCTGGCCATTCCGGGGGCAAAAGCGCCCTTTTCTACCCCAAAGGGGGCCAGGCTCTTGCGTTGCAACACCACAAAAGCCATATCCATAGCTGTGCCAAGGTCTCCATGTAAAAGAAGGCTTTCCACCTCTGGACTCTACCATCCGTTTGTCCCCTACTCTTGGCCTTGACCACCAAGTACCACCCATTCACATCATGAGTGGGTACTGGGAATTGGGGGGAGGGCGGGGGTGCCGAACTGGCTTCCCCTTTGGCTTCTCTGGCAAGTGCACAAAAGGGGGAAAGGAGAAGCTCTGATAAAGTTAGATCTTCCCCTGAGGTGGGTTGAGGGGCTCCACAGAAAGTGGCCGGCTCCTCAAGGCCAGTGAGATGGTCTCCACACCCCTGGAGTCCCTGGATCTAGTCAGCAAACCGCTGCAGAAGATGGTCCTCCCGCCTCAAGCTGCCACCTGTACCGCCGCCCCCGCTGTCCATGAAGCGGTCGCAGGGGAACTCGATGAGGTCCGCCTCGCTGAGAGCACACACAGTGGTGCGTGGCCGGTGTGACTGGAAGCCAGAGAAGTCCGCAGACACGCCGGTGCCCATGGAGCGCAGGGGACGTCGGGTGGAATACATGTGTCGAACATGCACAGGGGCCCCACCCTTCCGCCTAGCCCGCAGCTTCCTCCGCAGCCAGCGGGACGCCCAGGCCGCCAGCGCCAGAAACACCAGCAGCGCGTTGACGGCCAGCAAGACCAAGGTCAGCAGCTGGTAATCGACGCTGCTCCGGCTCCCAGGCTCCGGGAGGGTGACCAGCCCGGCGCAGTGGTCACGGGGGGCCACCGGGCAGACGCGGCCCCCGAGGACGCCCTCCACGCACACCAGGTAGGGGGTGTCTCCGCGCAGCTCGCGCAGCGTGGCCGAGTCGCTGCGCTCCGGCAGGTAGACGAAGCGGTGGAACTTGGGCTGCTGGCCAAAGCGGTCGAAGAGCAGGCGGAAGCGCGCGCCGCCCAGCGGTGGGGGGCTTCGGTACTGGCGCACCGCCCAGCGCACCGAGGCGCTGTCGGCGTCCACCGCCTCCACCGTCAGGTTGCACAGGATGAACTTGTTGAAGTCGCAAGGGTCGGACACCAGCGGCGGCAGGCCGACCCCGCCGTCGGACTGGGCGGCGCTTTCCTGCTGCTGCGCGGCCAGGCGCTGCTTCGCCGCCGCAAGCTGCCAGGGATCGCCAGCGGGCGGCGGCGCAGAGGCGGGCGCGGCCGTCGGGGTGGGCTCCGCGTGGGCGGCGTCTGCCGGAGTCTGAGGTCCCCGCTCTGGCTTCTGGAGCAGGTCCAGGGGGTGTGGCGCCGGGCCCTCGGCAGCAGCGGCGGAGGGGTCCGGCTGCTGGAGGCCCGGGCCCCGTCGGCTCAGCCTCAGAGCGCTGCGGTTGCCCAAGAGCTCCCTGGCGGCCGCATCCCAAGGCACCCCGGGCAGAAATCGCTCGCGCTGCTGCGGCTGTGACTGCGGCTGCGGTGGCAGCTCCTCCGAGAGGCCGCCTGCAGGGGGTGCCACCTCCTCCCCGCTGGCTGTGGGCAAGGGCCTCCCCTGACCTTCGGCGGTCGGGGAACCTGAGGCCGAGGGGTCTGCACAAGCCCCGTTCTGCAGCTGCTGGTCATCCAGGTAATCCAGGTACTTGCCCCGCAAGGCCGGGGGGTGGCGACACTGCACGAAGACCGTGAGAAGACGGCCTTGCGAGTGCCAGTCGCCCATCCAGCGCTTCAGGCCCCGCAGACGGCAGTCGCAGGTCCAGCCATTGCCATCTAGGTCCAGCCGGTAGAGGGCCGGGCTGGCGGCGAAGATGTCCCCGGAGAGGGCGCTGAGCGCGTTGTCGCGGAGGCTGAGCTCGCGCAGCCGGCCCAGGTGGCCAAAGACAGTGGGGTGCAGAGCGGACAGCGCGTTCCCGCTAAGGTCCAGCGCCTCCAGGCTGTGCAGAGGCTCCAGCAGCGCCACGGGCAGCTGGCTCAGCCGATTCCCCTCCAGGCGCAGCTCGCGCAGGGCCTCCAACCCCCAAAAGGCCTCCGGTGCGAGGTGAGTGAGCTGGTTGCCCCTGAGTGAGAGGAGGCCAAGACGCGGCAGGTGCTGGAAGACGCGCGGCCCGAGGTGCTGGAGGCTGTTGGCCGAGAGGATGAGGGTGGAGAGGGAGCGCAGCGGGGCGAAGGTGGCCGCGTGGCGTAGGGAGGGCTGCAGCTCGTTGGCAGAGAGGTTAAGGAAGCGCAATTTGCCCAACTGGGCAAAGGCGTTCTTGCCCAGAAAGCGGATCCGGTTGGACTCCAGATGTAGGTAGAGCAAGTTGCCCAAGGGGGCGAAGACCGCGTCCGGCAGCGCCCCCAGGGCGTTCCCGTCCAGCCGCAGTTTGACCAGACTCTCCAGGCCCTCGAAGGAGCCGCGGCTCAGGCGGCCGATCTCGTTCCCGTTGGCGTAGAGGATGCGCAGCTTGCGCAGCGGGGCCAGCGTGCCCGGGACGAGCGCCTGCAGGAGATTGTTCCCCAGGTAGAGCTCCTCCAGCCGGGAGAGCTTCTCAAAGGTCTTGGGGTGCAGAGAGCGGATCTGGTTGTACTGCAGGTCCAGCCGTCTGAGCTGCCCCAGACGGTGGAAGTCGAAGGCCGTGATGTTGGTTATGAAGTTGCCGCCGAGGCTGTAGGTGAGCACGTCCTGGGGGCTCGGTAGCGAGCTGGTCTTGGGCACGGCGCGGAGCCCCCTGTTGGTGCATAGGAGGTGCTGGGGGTGCTGGCAGTCGCAGCGCTCCGGGCACACGGGCTGGGCCCGCGGCGGGAGCGCGAGGCAGCCGCACACCACGAGCAGGAAGCGCACCGCGCGGGCAGCCTCCATCGCCGCCTGCCCTGCGTGCTGCGGCGGGATCGTCCTCTTGGCCCGCCTGCTCTGTGTCTCCTCTGCATTCCCCTTGGCCTGGCCAGAGTCGCTCAATGGCCTCTTTCGGACTCCGCAGCGCGGTCCAGCCCCTCCTCCGCCCTTTGTCCGGTGGCTGGCCCGGGTCTCTGCAGGCGGGCTTCGCCCCGCCAAGTCAGGCGGCTCAGGGCGCTCCGGGAGCTCCGGGTGCTACTTGTTGCATTTCTGCACAAAACTGTTTCTCCGGGTGTGCGTCGGGGGGCGGAGGGAGGGAGCCAGACCTGAGCTTTTTGTTTGCAGCTTGAGTCCGGAGAGCTGGATTCCCTGGCACGGATTCTCCCCGCCGAGCGGATTCCCCAGCTGCAGGCGGGAGCCCTTCCAAGAACTCCTCGGGGCGCGGCTTGGCTGCTGCGCCCCGGCGGCTCGGCCCCCGCAGCCCGCGCCTCCTGGCTCTCCGTCCGCGACCAGGAGCGGGGCCTCCGTGGAACAGCCGGGGGGAGGAGCCGGGGGTGCGCAGGCTGCGTCCGGAAGGGACCCAGGTCTGCGAGTGGCGGGCAAACCAGGCGGAAATTCGTTCTTCCCACACTCTGCCCCCCGGGGATGCAGGCGGAGAAAGAGGAGACGGCAGAGGGAGGACAGACCCCGACAGGGGGAGGAGGAAACGCTAAGTGGCTTCGCGTCTGGTCAGCCCGAGCCCGGGACGCCGAGTGAGAAAAGTAGGGATTAAAAACAGCTGTACGGGTCGGCCCTCGACGCAGGGCTGGGGGCGGGGGTGGATTACCGGGCTAGCAAACGGAATTTGCAGACAGAGACCTTTTTATTTTAGATGAGTACACCAGTCATTTCGGCGCATTGGGAGCGCGGCTCCTCTTCTTCGTTTTCAAGTCACTTGCGCTTCCAAGTGTCACCCCGCGGGCAGTGCACGCAGCACGGAGGGCGCAAACATCCTGTAAGAACTTTAGGGCAGCCCAAGGTTGTCTCCAAAGAGCTGTCGGTGGACTACCGTCAGAAGAGGCCAGGTCAGCCCCGTCTGAGTGTTGGGTGTTTGGATTTTTTGACGGAGCTGTACAGGTGGCCGAGGAGAGGCATCGCCCCACGTAGGGATCTGAACTGGGTACTCGCTTGGCCCTGCTGTAGGTAAGAGCCTGGAGAATCCCGGAACTGGTTCTACCACCGCGAAGAGGGTGTCTCTGTCAGATTTTGGTGATTTAGTCCCATTAATCCTCCTCCCGTCTTACAGCCCTTGGGGTAGGCTCTGCACGTGTGCATAGACATAAAATCACCTCCACAGACCCTCTGGTAACTGCTACCTGCGGGCCTCACCGGCTCGATGCCTGGGCTTGCAGGGATCTTCAAAGTCTTGAGGCCCAGAAGTTCTCAGGCCTGGCTTAGTGGGGGAGTCTCACCACTTATCAGTATAGAATGGAGCATTTGTCCCTGGCGCCTTGGAGGGCAGCCCCCCGCTGAGAATGAGGATGGGCAAGGAGTAACTCTTTTTAATCATTTGTTTATGCAAACAGTTTTGCTAAAAATAAAGGCCCCTTCCCTCCTCCTTCCCACCCAAAATGTTCAGAAAATGTAATTTAAAAGGATCTGCTCTGTGAAAAATTAAAGGAGACATATCCTCACCTCAAGAGGCTGGCTATCTAGAAGGGAGGACAAGTCATGGAAATGTTAAGTCATCATCTAAGGCAGTAGCTGCTGAGATACAAGGTGAGTTTTAGTAATTCCAGTGTTTGGCAGTGATTGAGTGCCTCATTTAGCGATTTATGTAGGTGGGTGATAGAGAGGAGTTCTGAATTTCAGGAAAGATGAGATCCTTGGCTGCATGGTCAAGGAAGACTTATGGGAGAGCAGGTACTGGGGGCTCCAGGGCGATGGGCAGTGGAGAGCTCACGGTCAGTCAGTAGTGAAATGCCTATTCTGGGCACAGCGAACAGACCCAAGTTTGCTTGTGATATGCTTTGAGTTTTCAAATAAAGAAAGTGTGGGAAACCAAGTATCTGTCTTTTTTTTTTTTAAAGATTTTATTTATTTATTTGAGAGAGAGAATGAGATAGAGAGAGCATGAGAGGGGGGAGGGTCCGAGGGAGAAACAGACTCCCTGCTGAGCAGGGAGCCCGATGCGGGACTCGATCCCGGGACTCCAGGATCATGACCTGAGCCGAAGGCAGTCGCCCAACCAACTGAGCCACCCAGGCGCCCCAAGTATCTGTCTTAACAAGATAAAAGGTAGTTTGGTTTTTAGTTCTCATAGTGAGAAACTTCTGAAACCTTTTTAGTTCTTGACTGCAGTCCTCCTTATGAAGGTACTGCCCCAGAGGGTGAAACCCAGGCTTGCACAGTGTGGCACAAGCTGGCCTGATCCTGGCCCCCCAGATGTTGTTAGGAGGACTTTTCATTTTTTTTGGAGAAAAGAAGACTAAGAAGCTACTGGCTTTCAAATTGAACCGCTGGATGGATCTACCTGGGATGGCGCTGTGGCTGCATCAGCTTTGAGCCTGTGGTGTGAGGACACACAAACGGCCGTCAGAGCAGAGCTGAGAGAGATGTAACGTGGAAGAAAGGGAGAAGCAGAGATGGGACCCCACCCCTGAGTCTGCAGACATCTTGCAGAGTGGGGACCGCAGGCAACATTCCGTCCGAGGACCTCGAGAATTTGCGCTAATCACTCACTGCACTTGGAGTGTCTTTGCTTTATAGGTGCCCCGAAGGAAGATGTACAAAATCATCAGACCCCCGCAGATGTTCAGTATTTTTCAATGTTTTGACTGTCGTTGGTATTATTGCCCGGTGTTTAACATTTCCACCAGTAGTGCTGGCTTGCAGGTAGAAATAACATCATATGTGGTTTATGTCAAAAGGCAATTGCTTTTCCATAACATTCCATTTTCTTGAAGTAATTTCTTGAAGTAATCCATTGGCCACCTAGTTAACCTTGCTTAAAATAGATACAGTGTGCCATGCTTCAAATAAGTATAAATAGCTTTCGATAGGTGTTGCTAGCACCCTCAGTCCAGTTTCAGTGAGATTAAGACTTTGGGATCTGCAGATGAAGTGATAACACATATGTGTGTGTGCATGCAGCTAAATTCTTTCTGAAATAGTGTGATTACGGTCTTTTTGACAAATGCTTCCCTTTTTAAAGGCATGTAGCTTGAGGTCCACTTTACAAATGAATGACATTTAAATCCTTCAGAGTACATGAATGTGTATTCTTATGTGCCCCCAATGATCTCTGTTTCTATAATGCTGCACATTCACGTATTTTATTTTCAGACCATCTCTCTCTTCCAGGAGCTAAAACAGTATTTTGCTCGAATTCAGCAGTACTTAGAGACCCCCGGTAGTGAAGAGCTGTAAAAGCAACTCCAAAGCTGCATTTGCTTTGAATGCTGGTGGTCTGGCAGGTACTATTTATGAGAATCTAGCAAGAGACAAATCCCAGGATGAGTGATGGGAATGCAGTGGCTGATAGGATTCAGTGCCAGACCCCAGGGTGCAACAGCTCGGCAGGGAGACTGATGGGCAAGGAGTGAGCAATGGCATCACCAGGTGATAAGTGCCGAGGGGTGGAGCTGTGGGAGCCCCGAGGAGGGCACCTGGCCTGGACTGAGAGCTTGAGGAAGGTTTCCAGAGGAGGGAAGTGCTGGAAGCCTGCAGACGGGGGCAAGAGGGTCCTTTAGGAACCCCCAGATCTTCTGTCTTTGTTGATGAGATCTTTTGACATTTGTATTTTTCAACAGTATCACACAAACTTGCTCATATGGCTTCCGAATAAATATTCCCTTACTTGCCTTTAAGGATTTCTGCAGGCAGATGACATAATGATATTTGCACTGCAACGTCAAAAGGTATCTCTGCTAAATAAAGTAGGTGCTATACAAAGAAAATGTTATCTATCCAGTTCTTGCCCTCTGGGACCTTGGTGTGACAGTGGTTTGTGCAGAGTATGTGTTGATAGAACATCCAGACCAAGGTATTCACTAGGTAAGCTATGCATAGGCTTTGCGTAGATACTAGATACAGCATCACTCTTGGACCACGGCTACCTGGACTGGAGAGGGCTTTGTTCCAGTCTTCATCTGGTTGTGTCCCTCCCCAGAAGAGCAGGATTTCAGGCTTCCAAAGGGATGTGCCCGCCCACAGCCCCGCTCCTGCCCAGGGCTCCTAGGACCCTGGAGTTTCTTACTCAACTGCCTGAATCTGTGAAGACTTTCATCCGCCTGTGCTCTCAGGGGCTGGTTATGACACAGTTTATATATGCCTAGGGCCAAGAGAAGGCCACAAGGCAGCTGTGCAAAAAGAATCTGGAGGTGTGAGCTGCGATTTCCTGTGGTATGCCCGGGAGGCCACTAGGAGACTCCTCGTAATGCAGGAGCCGGAGCTGAGGGGAGGCGCCAGGGACCAGGGATCTTCTCTCACACTCTGACCCTGGGCGCCTCAAATATTAGAGACAGGCCTGTCCGTGTGTAGCATTTTAGGAGGAAAAAGTACATATACTTGGATTTAGGAAGAAAAAGGAGAAACATTGCAGGAGTGTGAAGGAAAGCATTTTTTAAAATGTGACTTCTACATTATAACATAGCCTATACCAAATTTTCTATAAATAGTAATAATTTTTAGTAAAAGCACGGACGTTGTTGTCTCCATTTAAATGCCTGTCTCTTAACGATGTAATGTCTTTGTTTATGGATGGATCCAGGCTTGGTCATGTTCCGGGAGATTCAAGTATTGATTGTGCTTAAATGTATAACTTGGATAATCACACATGGAAATCCAGAAGGGAATGCTGTTTGTGAGAGAAGCAAGAGCTTTGTCATTTCACTTTTGGAAAGCTTGCCCTTTAAATCTCAAGCGCACTGGGGGATAGTTGCAGAGGTCAGAAGCAGAGGCAAGTTTGGTCTGGTTCCATGACACGTATATATGGTGTAAGGGTTCTTGGTCCTGCCCAGGCCTGGAATCTTCTTGGGCTTGCCAGG